AGAGAGAGAGAGAGAGAGAGAGAGAGAGAGAGAGAGATTTGTATCAATAAAATGGCTCACACAGTTGTAGATGCAGGCAAGTCTGCTTCCAGGCAAGTTCCATGCCCTTGCATCAGATGTCAAACTGGAAGATTCTGGTGCAAGTAGCTTTAGAGGATGAATCCAAGATAGGCAGGGAGACCATAGGCCAGTGGTTGCAGAGGCGAATGAATTCCAGGTCAGCACGTCAGGCTTATGACTGGAAAGGTAAACAAATCCAAAGTCAACAGGTTAGAGGGCAGGTAGCTGTTGGCTCCCAGAAGTGGCTGGCCAAATCCAAAGAACCAGAGGTTGATAAGCCAGATGCAGGAGCCAGAACTAACAAAATTCAAGAGAGCTCTTCCACAGCATCCACTTATATAGGAAGGAGCCACACCCCTAGGGAAACTTTCTTTCTATTACATCAGGGCTGTGACCTGAGTGAGGGGCTTGCCATCCTCCCTAATCTTACAAAGGCTTGGCTGTTCATGCTAGATCTCATATGGGAGTTGATGACATTGTGTTAGGTCACCATTGGCGCATTACCTGGCCATAACTGCCAAACTACAGCAAATCCTGAACCGGTCAAGTTGACACAAAACTCAGCCATCACAGTTCCCTTGAGAAATTGTCCCATTGTTTTGTAGGTTGTCACCATTGCTACAAATGGGATATAGACAACCCACCTCTGTGTGTCATTTCTTTCCACTACATGTGAATCTCCAAGTATCTCAGTATAAAATGGTTCAGCACGAAACTCATTCTCTCTTTAAAATCACTAAATGCTCCCGGTCTGGGGGAGGGGGCTCCTGAATGTACCCCGTGTTACTGAAGATGGTTCTCACATCACCGGTGGCATCCCGTTGGCGGAGGTGGCTTGCTGGGACAGAGGGACTAGAGGACACCGGGGTCAATGAATGCTGGCCCAAGTGAGAACAAGAACTCAGCCCCCAGTTACCAATTAACCGGGCTCCACTGGTTTGCCTTTAAATCCATGAAAAACTACAACTGCAGGGGAGAGTGGCGTGGCTCTACAGGAGTGTGTGCTCCTCTGTGTGCGATCGCCAGCGCAGGAGGCATGGCTCTCACCGAGGAACCCCAGTCCCTTGTGGAGGACAGTGGGGACGAGCGGCCCAAGTGGGACAACAAGTTCCAGTACCTTCTGAGCTGCATCGGGTTCGCTGTGGGGCTGGGGAACATCTGGCGCTTCCCATACCTGTGCCAGACCTATGGCGGAGGTAAGCCGTTCACCTGGGCTTCTCAAGGTGGGACCCATGTCCTCCTTGGAGGAGGGCACCTGACTGGGGCGGGGTGGGGCTCACCTTTCTTGGCTTCCCCCCCAGGAGCTATCCATAAGATAGTTGTGTCACTCCAACTATTCAGAGGGAGCCTTCCTGGTAGGTGCCAGGGATCAGCCTTAGCGACCACTCACGTTCTTTGTCCTCCAATCCTTCAGGGAGAAGTTTAAAAAAAACAAAACTCACTGCCATCGGTAGATGGCGAGTCAGACTGACCCTAAAAGACAGTGGTTCTCCACCTTCCTAATGCCGCGACCCTTTAATGCAGTTCTTCATGTTGTGGTGACCCCCAACTATAAAATTATGTCGTTGCTACTTCATAACTGTAATTTTACTACTGTTATGAGTCATAATGTAAATCATAATGTGGTTTCCGGTGGTCTTAAGCAACCCCTGTGAAAGGGTCATTCAACCTCAAAGGGAAGGTGACCAGATTTAAAGCGGGACACCATTGACGGGGGGCGTTGGGGGGGGGTGTTCTTGGTTAAAATTTTGGTCTATATGGACCAAATAGACCGTTCTCTAGCTTGTTGTGCATTATTTCCAAAAATCAGGACTCTTTTAAAACGCCAAAAATCGGGACTGTCCCGTCAAAAGTGGGACGTCTGGTCACATTACCCAAAGGAGTCTTGACCCACAGGTTAAGAATCGCTGCTTTAAGACAAAGTAGAATAGCCCCTGTGGGTTCGCGAGACTATAACGTTTCCAAGGGTAAAAAGCCCCGTCTTCTCCCACGGATCAGCAGTGGGTTTGGACTGCTGGCTTACAGTTTGCATAGTTATCCACTATGCCATCAGATTGCTATCTGAAAGCATCGGCCAGTCTATAAATTCAATGCTTCTAAAAAACAAGACCTGGTGGCAATTGCAAACACTGTCACCTGCGCACTCCAGGTAGGTGGACGAGGGGGCTTCAAGAGCTTTTTGAAAACAGTCCCATGATCTGGTCATCACATTTGTCCACAGCTCTTTGCAGAGCCCTGGTGGTCTCGGCAAAGGTGTCCTGCATAGGTAGAATGGCTTGACCACTACTAGGCAGAAGTCTGATGATGGGGAGACTTGGAGATCGGCTTCCAAAAGGCTATGTGGACCAGCGTTCTCTGCACACACCTGGCGTCACCCTGCATCTGTGATGCTGGGTCTAAGGAGACAGAAATCTTACAAGCTGCCCACTCCCCTTGGTTCGTGGCATGAAGACGTTTGGGGAGGTGCCAGGCACCAGGGGGAAAAGGGTCCCCCAACATGGAACAGGCTTCAAGCAACCTTGCAAACACTGGCCAGGTTGTGGAAACGCCCATGTCTCATCAATCATAACCAAGTCAAAAGACCAGTTTCCCTCATGTCAAATTGTGACCCACGGTCACCCCACGTGTCTCAGAGCTGAACTGAGGCCCAGAAGGCTGTCGCTGGCTGCTGCTTCTGCAGAACATGGCCAGGGCTTTCTTCTGAGGCACCGGGTGGGCTCCACCTGCCAACCTCTCAGTGAGCAGCCAAGGGTGCTAACTTTCCGCACCACCCAGGGACTCAATGGGCAAGTTAGCAATTGTGAAGGGCCTGCTGCGTGTCTGGAATGTCCTGGGAACTCGGCCCCTTTGATCCTCACCAGGCTCGGAGTGGGACCAGCCCTCCCAGCTTCCACGGGGGAGGCTAAGTAAGCATTGGGGCTGTGTCGCAGTGGTGTGGCGTGTCTGTCCATCATCCCCGCTCCAGTGGACACCAAGGACAGGGAGGGGCAGTCTGCCTGCTCAACAGCTGGGTTCACAGGTGTGGGGGGAGGCGTTTTGTTCCACTTTTGAAACAGCTTCTTTAGGATCAACTTCCAACCATGAAAATCACTCCTTGAGTCTCAGGGAAATGTCTGCATTTTATTAGCTCCTGCTTTTCCTAAAGACTGTTCTACCCCACACCCTTGCTCCCTGTGTGACAAAGGTGAATTTTGTCTCATCCTGACCAGCATCGGTTATTTTGAAAACAATCTAAAATCTGATGTGCAGGTAACAGCAAATACTTCAATTTCCATGGGTCCATTATGACTGGAAGGGACTATTACTGCAAGGTGGAAGCGACCAGACAGCAGTGGATTCTGTTTCTAGGTTTCGCTTCCATTACGAAGAGCCCTGGTGGTGTTGACGTTAGTTACTCGGTGAGCTGCTAACCACAAGGTCAGCAGTTCAGGGTCACTCACTGCTCCAGGGGAGAGAGATGGGGCTTTCTACTCCTGTAAAGAATCCCAGTCTCGGAAACCCACAGGGGAGTCCGGCCCTGTCCACGAGGGTCAAGGGCAGTGTTTTCGTGGCTGCCCTGTATGGAGCAAATCCAGCAGCCTGCCCTCACCTCTCTGGGTCTCTGCGTCACAATGTGGTCATTGTCACCATATTTAGAAGTTCGTTTTACTCTAATGGCATTGCACACTTTATGAACGACAGGCAAGAGCCCCCAGAGCGTCCTTCCTCTTGTCAGGTAAGACTAGCAAGACAGAGAGTGACTTAGCCGAGGAACAGAGCTTTAGTCAGGGAGCCTGGGTCCCCCACACGGGGGAGGTGCCAGGGCCTTCTGTCCTGAGGCCCCGCTGGCAGGGGTGGCCACTGGCCCTGACCCTGTCCTCCTCGCAGGTGCCTTCCTCATCCCTTACCTCATCGCCCTGGTGTTTGAGGGGATCCCGCTCTTCCACATCGAGCTGGCCATTGGCCAGCGCCTGCGCAGGGGCAGCATCGGGGTGTGGACAGCCATCTCTCCCTACCTCGGAGGAGTAGGTAAGCCCCATGCCTATGGGCCCCTGCTGGGGACAGGGTGGGATGGAGCCGAGACCCCATCGGCCAAGCTCAGACAGCTGACAGAAACCAGGGCATGGGGCGGGGGTTTGCAGGGTCACGGGGCGAGAGGCAAGCCCGAGATCCTACAGGTAATCGAGAGGTGCCACGCACACCCTTCTGTGCTCACACCCTTGAGACCTGGGCATTGAGTCATCCGACTCAGTACCCCCGATGCCAAAGCCTGGAACAAAGACACGGGTGTTTGTTTGTTTGTTTGTTTGTTTGTTTGTTTGTTTGTTTGTTTTGGGGGGGTTGGGGGGCAGCTCAGAACACAGGATCAAGGGATCAGGTGCCTCGGGCAGGAATAGGAGGCTTCAACAGGAGGAGTGCCCCGTAACTCAGACATAGGGGGTCAGCTTCCGGAGCAACAAACAGCACAGCTCTGGCTCCTGAGTGTGGATGGGGCACTGAGACCCCCACATCCAGTGCCCAGGGACATCGCTGGAAACCTGGGCACAGATCCGGCAGTGTCTTGGTGTCACCATCCGGGGGAGTGACCTGCCACATGGGGACAGTTGCCAAGAGGACAATCCTGCAGCTCTACCCCAGACAGCCCTCCTGACCCCCCTGCAAAGCCAGTGGCCGGATAAACAGAGGGGCCAGCAGGCCAGGAGCTGTGGCAGCATGGGTGCCTGCTGGGGTGTGTTTTGACGCAGAGATAGGGTCCCGGGCGAGTCATCCCCAGGGAGGTTGGGGGTGGTGTGTATGCAGGCAGTTCCCCAAGGCCCCCTGGAAGCAGTCATGCATGGTTACTGAAGGAAGCAAGGCCCTGGGGGACATTGGCTTCCCAGCCTTGCTTTGATCTGCTGGCTTTCAACAGAGAGTGGGAGTGGGCAGAGGACAGGGCCCTTGGGCCCAGGCTGACCCTGGCAGTGTCCGCAGGGCTGGGCTGCTTCACCGTGTCCTTCCTGGTCAGCCTGTACTACAACACCATCCTGATGTGGGTCCTCTGGTACTTCCTCAACTCCTTCCAGAACCCACTGCCCTGGAGCAGCTGCCCACCCGATCGCAACAGGACAGGTAAGGGCGCCATTCAGGGCGGCTGCGGGGCTATCCCTGCTGAGGCTAGCTGGCCCGCTCCAGGACACGGCTGCGGGAAGGCCTGGGAGGGACCCCACAGAGCTCCAGGATGTGCGGGGAATCAGGCCTGCACAGGTGATGCCAGCCGGTCCGGAAGGCCCGAGGGGCTGAACCCATTACAGATAGCCTACAGGGGGCCACTTTAGAGACATGTGTGTGCTCAGGAGGCTAGAAGGTGGAAGAGAACCATGGCATCTGTATGTGTGTCTGTGTCTGTCTGTGTGTGCATGTGTGTGTCTGTGTGTGCATGTGTGTGTCTATGTGTGCATCTGTGTGTCTTTATATATCTGTGCCTGTATGTGTCTCTGCATGTGTGTGTCTATGTGTCTGTGTGTGCATGTGTGTCTGTGTGTGTCTATGTGTGCATCTGTGTGTGTCTGTATGTATCTGTGCCTGTATGTGTCTGTGCATGTGTGTGTCTGTGTCTGTATGTGCATGTGTGTATCTGTGTGTCTATATGTATCTGTGCATGTGTGTCTGTGTGTACCTGTGTGTGTCTGTATGTGTTCATGTGTGCATTTGTGTGTCTGTGTCTCTGACAGTATCAGTGCATGTGTGTGTCTGCATGTGTGTTGGTGTGTGCATGCATGTGCATATCTGTGCCTGTGTGTGTGTCTGTGTGTATCTGTGTGTGCCTACGTGTATCTGTGTCTGTGTGTGTCTGTATCTATGTGTGTTGGTGTGTGTGTGCATGTGCATATCTGTATGTGTCTGTGTGTATCTGTGTGTGTCTATGTGTATCTGTGTATCTGTGTCTGTGCATGCGTCTGTGTGTCCGTGTCTGTGTGTGCCGCTCTTTATATAACTCGGTTAGCACTCACTGTACAGGGTACGGCCTCATTAGCGGGCACAGTGGAAGCTGATGGCATCACATCAGATGATAATCCGCTCTCAGGTGTTAGTGGTTGTTAGGCACCGATGCGTTGACACTGACTCCTAGGCACCTTATGTGCACTAGAACTTTCACACTGCCGGCCCTGGCCATCCTCCCGGTGGTTCTTCTGTGGGAGCCCACTGTTGCAGCCACAGTATCAATCCATCTCGTCGAGGGTCTTCCTCTTTTTCGAGGCCCCCTACTTTACTAAGTACGGCATCCTTCTCCAAAGACTGGTCTCTACTGACAACATGTACAAAGTACACGAGACCAAGTCCCCCTACCCTTGCTTCTAAGGAGCACGCTGGCTGTACGTCTTCCAAGACAGAGTTATTCATTCTTCTGGCTGTCCCAGGTAGATTCAAGATTCTTCTATAATGCTATGATTCCATGCACTCACTCTTCTGTGGTCTTCCTTATTCAATGTCTGTCGGGTACCAGCCTCCACAATCGAATGGGTTCAAGAGGGAGTGGTGTCATTGAGGGGTAAATTTAATGAGACAGCAGACAAGATAAAGCATGTGAGTGCTCACCTCCGGGACTGCCATGACTTCAGGACCCAGATCTGTGCAGAAAAAGAAAGAGAATATTTCCATCCAAGGCTTATATACACTCAGGGGGCTTGCAAGCCCCCCTAATTACAAGTAACCACAAAAGTAACAAAGTGGGCTGTACCCTAACCCTAAACATCCCTGAGTCCATAGGACGAGTAACCTAACACCAGTGCCCTGGGCAGGTAAGGGACAGTGGCTGTCCTGAGAGCCTAGAGAGCAACAGCACATGTCTGCTCCTGTCGTTACAGCTGCCAGCTACATAGCAATCAGCTTGTAAGAGGTAACTTTAAGGTAGCACTACTATGAGAGAATATATTAATATTAATATATTAATATTAATTATGAGCATGTGATTGAGACTCATGAGGTTGAAGGCCCTCCTCCACCCCAGAAACCCAGCCTGCCAGGCTTCTAAATATATGAGAATAAAGGGTTCCTCCGTATACACTCTCTTCCCGTTCTCTGCTTCCCACAAATGTCCACATTTCACATGCATATGAGGCTATTGAAAATATGATTGCTTCAGAACCCACAGATTGGGAAAAAATATTTAACAAAGTATATCAGATAATAGGCTCATTTCAAAAATATATAGAAAATTATGAGACCTTACTAAGAAAAATACAAGCAACCCAACAAAAAATGGGCATAAGACATGAATAGATAATTTACTAAAGATGACACCCAGGCCATCAATAAGCCTAGGAAGAAATAGTCACACTCATTAGCAATAAGAAAAATACCAATCAAAGGATCAATGTGATACCACCTCACACCAAAACCCTTAGTAAAAGTTTTCTTTGAAATAACAGAAAATAATAAATGCTGGAGGGGATGTGGAGAGATTGGAATGCTCCGACCTCGCTGGTGGAATTGTAGAATTGTACAACCCCTATGGAAATCAATTTGGCGCTTCCTTAAACAAATGCAAAGAAAAATACCTTTTGGTCCTGCAACCTCCCTGCTTGGTATATACCCTAAGGAAATCAGGAACCCAACGTGACACATGCAGACACATTTTTTTGTTTGTTTGTTTGTTTTTAATCATTTTATTGGGGGCTCGTACAATTCTTATCACAATCCATACATACACAATGGTGTCAAGCACATTTGTACATTTGTTGCCCTCATCAGTCTCAAAACATTTGCTTTCTGCTTGAGCCCTTGGTGTGACCTCCTCATTTTTCCCTCTCCCCCCCCCGTACCCCCTCCCTCATGAACCCTTGATAATTTATAAATTGTTATTATTTTGCCATATCTTACACTGTCTGATGTCTCCCTTCACCCACTTTTCTGTAGCCTGTCCTCCAGGGAGGAGGTTATGTGTAGATCCTTGTAATCGGTTCGCCCTTTCTACCCCACCTTCCCTCCACCCTCCCAGTATTGCCACTCTCGCCACTGGTCCTGAAGGGATCATTTGTCCTGGATTCCCTGTGTCTCCATTTCCTATCTGTACCAGTGTACAACTTCTGGTCTAGCCAGGTTTGTAATGTAGAATTGGGATCATGATAGTAGCGGGGTAAGAAGCATTTAGGAACTAGAAGAAAGTTGTACGTTTCATCGTTGCTCCACTGCACCTTGACTGGCTCCTCTACTCCCCAAGACCCTTCTGTAAGGGGGTGTCCAGTTGCCTACAGATGGGTCTTGGGTCCCCAATCTGCACTTCTCCTCATTCACAATGATTTGACTTTTTGTTCTTTGATACCTGAAACCTCATCCCTTCGACACCTTGTGATCACACAGGTTGGTGTGCTTCTTCCATGTGGGCTTTGTTGTTTCTGCAGACACATTTTCAGAGCAGCCATTGCTATCATAGCCCCATCATGGAAACAAAGAAAACCTCTCACTCCGGAGGAACGGGTATGCAAATGCTGGTGCGTTCACACAGCAGACTCGGATGCATCCTTAAAGGACAGGGATGAGCCTGTCAATCACCTGGGGACAGGGACAAATCAGAGGGCATTATGATTAGCAAAGTTCGTCAACCTCATAAAGGTCAATCTTTGATGACACCGGTATTAGAAAGGAAAAGGAAGAAAAAGAAAAACGGTTTCACACCACAGGGTATGATTTCAGAGCCTATGATGAGTCCAGGGATGGGATGAGGAGGGGGGCGGGAGGAAAGGGACAGGAAACGTTGGGGGGGGGGGGCGGGTATACACAGGAAAGAGTGAGAGAAGAAGAACAAAAAGATCCACACTTAGAGGGAGTTTACTGGGACCATGACCGACGTCATTGGTGGGCAGGGCTGTACAGCTACATGGCATATGTTTCCTTCTGTGAGTATTGTATCCTATAAACAAAAGGAAAATCGTAACGATAGTAAATAAAGTTAAAATGTTAAATGGAAACAGAAGGCTCACAGCTCTAACAACCCCTCCAGATTGCTCACCCAGCGGGTCTAAACGCTGGCCTGAGGGGCTAGAGAAGGAGGGAAAATAAGACAGAAGCGGACTCGGAGACACTGGTGACAGACGGACCAGTTCGTTGCAAAACAGAGATAGAAAGAAAGGCAACGCCGTGGCTTCGGTGAGGCCACCTCAGTCCTCAGAGTGACACCGTTGCTCCTTAGCCCTGCAACGAGGTCTTGGGCCACAGATTCGCCCGGTGCAACAACAAGATGTTTGATTTCTTTCTCCCCTGTGGCTTCCATGGGTTTAGACTCTAAACTTCAGAGCCATAAGAGTTGTAGGCAGAGAGGTCGGGTTTCCACGCATCATCTGGGGGACACAAGTCATAGCATGGGGGAACCCAGAATCTGCATCAGCAGGGGTTAGTGCACGGGGGAGTGGGGGTGAGGTCTCTGAGAGCCAAGAGGCTGTGGGCGCTGGGACCAGTGGGGCTCAGCACTGGGACCAGTGGGCTCAGCGCTGGGACCAGTGGGGCTCAGCACTGTGACCAAAGCACAGACAGGGCCGGGGCTGAGCGGGCGGCAAATACCTCTACCTTACCTTCCTGTTGCACCTCACCAGAAGTTTCATGAACATCACGTCCCAGTAATTGCCCCTGGCCCATGGGGCCTGCTGCCCCAGGGTGATGGGAGAGGGGGTGACAGCAGCATTGATGCCCCTTGGTTGCAGGGTTCGTGGACGAGTGCCAGGGCAGTGGTGTGGTGAGCTACTTCTGGTACCGGCAGACGCTGAACATCTCAGCCGACATCGGCGACAGCGGAGCCCTGCAGTGGCGGCTGCTCATGTGCCTGGCAGCCTGCTGGGTGGTTGTGTACCTGTGTGTCATCAGAGGCATTGAGTCCTCGGGAAAGGTAGGCGCCCCCTCCCCAGCGCCTCATGACTTCCCTCTGCCCGAGGGTGCCCTCCAAGAGAAAGTGGTAGCAGAGGCTTCCTCCGTCCCACCTTCCCGTCCCCTCTGCCCTCGAGGCTCAGTCTATACCCCGTGGGTAACGGTTAGGGGGACAGCAAAGGCCTGCTACCCTCTGAGCTGCAGGATCGGAAGCCCTGAGCCCAGGTGAGGAGTGAGAGCCGGGAGTTCTGGATTTGTGGAGGATGGATCTCTGGGGGTGGGGGGGCCCACTGGGGTCCTCTCCTCCCCTGATGTTGGCCCAGGGCCACTCACCGGCCCGGCCCAGAAGGGACCTCACTTCTCTGGCTCCGGTGTCCACTCTGGGCTACGTGGTCAGAGTCCACCCCCGCTGCCCTCCCCCACAGGCATTCAGGGTTCATGTGGGGGGTCCCCCTCCCTGAGCAGATGCCCCAGAGAGGCAGGAAGTCCCCTCCTGAAGTCCCCTTCTGTACCAGCATCCTCAGGAGTGGCAGTGAGCCATCTCAGAGTGTCCCTGCATCCCTGCTCCTCTCCAGGGGCAAGAAGGCGAGGGTGTGTGTGTGTGTGTGTGTGTGTGTGTGTGTGTGTGTGTGTGATTGGAGATGTGGTCACCTGGGGTCTTCTCTGTCTTCCTCGCTGAAGGTCATTTATTTCACCGCCCTTTTCCCGTACCTGGTCCTGACCCTCTTCCTCATCCGGGGACTCACCCTGCCCGGGGCCAAGGAGGGCCTGCTCTACCTCTTCACCCCTAACGTGAGTGTTTGAGGGGTTCAGCCTGCATGTGGAGCCCAGGCCGGGGCCACGGGGCGGGAGCAGGGAGCAGGGATCCAGGAGGAGCGCTTCATTTGGAACTCGCCGACCAGTGGGTGACTGCTGGACCTCCCCATGGAACCTGGGCATAGTGAGCAGTCCCTGGTCTGAAGCTACTGTGTAGGGAGAAGCCAGCCCCATTCAGGGGCAGGGACACTGGACCACCCTTTGGGGGTCAGGCTTCAGTCCAGCCCTTGTGTTCCTCTAGCAGCATGCACCCACCAGGCAAGAGGTCAGGGATCCCCTCTCTGCCCCGCAGAGTCCAGGGTCCCAGCATCCCCTAACAAGATCCCTGAAGAACCTCCTGGGGGCTTCCAGCCATGCCTTCCCCTTCCCTGGGAGATGGAGGAGTGGCTGCAGAGATGGGCAGAGGGTGGACGTGGTTCAGGCAGGATGGGCAGTCAAATGGCTACTCATAGAAAAAGGAGGTGAGCGGATAAATAGGGGAAACAGATAGAGGAAGAGGAGGAAGGAGAGAGGGGATGAGGAGGAGGACAAAGAGGAGGGAGAGAAGAGAGGGAGAAGGAGGAGGGAGAGGGAAGGGGCCCCACAGCCCTGGGTGGGACATGCCTGCCCACAGACACACCTGGGACCAGTGGGCGGTTGTGGGTAAACCCAGGTCACCATGGCAGAGCCCATCTGAGGACCCTCCACCCCACCCAGAAGCAGCGCTTCTGATCTGAGCAGATTCAATAGCTTCTCACCCATTTGCCCACCGGGACAGGTCTGTGTCAGCCAAGCTGTCAGAGCCCAAGTGTCCCGGTTGTGGACAGGGGTGGGGCGGGCTGGCACCCCTGCAATGGGAGGGGCCAAGAACGACACTGAATTCTCAGAGTGGGTGTGCCCATGCGCCCAAGGCCCCAGACAGTTCTGGGGGCTCCAATCTGCTCAGGAGCATGCCCCAGGGCTGTTCTTGAATGGTGCATGCACGAGCAGGTGTCTGTGCCCCCCCATGGGTGTGTGAGTAACCCTCACACCCCACCCTCCCGCTCGTTCTAGCTGGAGATCCTCCGGAACCCGAGGGTGTGGCTGGACGCAGCCACTCAGATCTTCTTCTCTCTGTCCTTGGCCTTTGGAGGACACATCGCCTTTGCAAGTTACAACCCGCCCAGGTAGGCAGCGCAGAATCGGCTGAGCTCACAGGTTCAAAAGCAGCGGGGCAGCACTTCTTTATCTCGGGGTCCTGGCCGTGGCCCTCGGGCAACCTTCTGTGCGTTGACGATAAGAGCTTTATCCTGGGTGTATTATGTGCACTGGAGCCAAAGGCGTGTCGTGCCGGCGGCAACTGAGTCACCCCGGGGTTGGCAGGAGGTCACCTGAAAGGCAGTGTAGAGCAGCTGGTGCCAACCTGCACCGTAAACCGGGATGAGCAAGCCAGGGGTGGTGACATCACTGCCAAAACGATGAGGACTAAAATTAGCCACAGGCATCAGGCAGGATGTTGTAAAAGCAGACACCTGCTGGGGACACATCCATTTATGACAAAGCGGATTCAAGGCGGGCACGAGGATTTTATGGGGCCACCGTGTGCTTCTAGCACTGCAACACGCAATGCCATAGACTCAGGAAACAGGCAACGCACCAGGAGAGATGTTGTGGTGAGGTGCCGTAGTCCTGGCACACAGCAAGCGCAGGTGCAATAAAACAAAACACTGCCTGGTCCCACACCATCCTCGCCACCCTGGCTGTGCCTGAGCCCCTGGTCGCAGCCACCGCGTGACTCCATCTTGTTCCGGGGTTCCTGCTGCCCCTCTACTTTACAAGCATGATGTCCTTCTCCAGGGACTGTTATCTCCTGATCACACGTCCAATGCACACGAGACCAAGTCTCCCCATCCTCACTTCTCAGGAACACTGGCTGAAGTGCTGCCCAGACAGGCTTGTTTGCTCACGGCATAATGCATATTCTGCATATGCATGTTCTGCATGGACCCCGCCGTCCAGATGCCTCGATGTGCCTCTGAGCTTCCTTGGCCATTCTCCAGCTTCCACAGGCCTCTGAGCCGAGTGAAAGGGCCTGTGGGAGGTCAGGTGCACCTTAGTCCTCAAAGGGAGGACCTTGCCCTTGAACCCTTGGCGCAGATTCGCCCCAGGTAATACCTCACTTGCTCGGTGACTGCTGCTTAGCAAAGGGCGTGGATTGTAGATCCGAATGAAATGAGGTCCTTAACAACTTCAACCTTCTCTCCCTTGATTGTGATACTCATTTTTTGGATTTGGGCTTGTGGGGCTTGGGGTCGTTTCTGCAATGAATTAGTGTCTCAAGTGCCCTTCGCTCTCAGGTCAGGCTGTGTGCATCGACCAAGAGGCAGTTCCACGAAACAGAGCCAGGGGGCGGGGGTACACGGTTTAAAGTCAGGAAAATGTGCTGCAGGGTTGCATCCTCTCGCCAGACTTATCTGACCGTGAGGACTTGAGTTTTCTTTACCCTGAGCTGTAATCCACACTGAAGGCTGCAGTCTTTGATCTTCCTCGGCATGTGCCTGAAGACCTCACTTTCAGAAAGCAAGGTTGTGTCATCTGCATATCTCAGGCTGCTAAAAAGCCTTCCTCTGGTCCTGCTGCCTCATTCCTCTTCCTGTGGTCCAGCTGCTCAGATAATATGCTCAGCACACAGATTGAATAAGTGTGGTGAGAAGACACAACCCTGATGCACAACTTTCTTGATTTTAAACCATGCAGTATGCCCTTGTTCTGTTTCAACGGCGATCCCGTGATCCATGTCTAGGTTCTGCCTGAGCACAGTGCAGTGTTCTAGCAGTCCTTAGGTTGGTTCATTTTTTTTTAAGGTTTCCAAGTAGGATGGGCCAGGGGTGGAGAAAAGTTGTCAGGGATGCTACAACACTTAGAATCATAGAATCAGGTGGCTTTCAATGTTTGATTTTCAGAACAGATCAGAAAGATATCAAAATTGATGTAAGATGTACTTGGAGGCTAAAGCTGGGCACAATAATTAGCACCAATGGTCTTTCTTTAGAAATGGTTTGCTGAAGTGGAACCTCTGAGTTGTCTTGGACACTTGAGATAGAGATGACACTCGAAGGTTTTTTCTTGAGATTTGGTTGGTATATCCTTATCATGAATGAACTATTTCCTAAGGCTATTTTACACCAATGTATCTGAGTTATGGGAGCCCAATGGCATGATTGGGTAAGTGTTGGATTGTTATCCTCAAGATCAGTAGTTCAAGCCCACCAGCTGCTCCTGGGGAGGAAGATGAGACTATGTGCTTCTGTAAAGATATACAGCTTTGGAAACCCTATGTAATAACCGAGTTGCTATGAGTCAGACTATATGAAGAAGAACTCCCTGGGAGGGAGTTATATGTAGATCCCTGTGATCAGTTCCCCCTTTCTCTCCCCACTGTCCCCTTACCCTCCTGGTATCCCTACTCTCATGATTGGTCCTGAAGAGTTTCTCTGTCCTGGATTCCCTGTGTTTCCAACTCTTATCTGTACTAGTGTACATGCTCTGGTCTAGTCAGATTTGTAAGGTAGAATTGAGATCATGATAGGGGAGAGGAAGCATTAAAGAACTAGAGGGAAATTGTATGTTTCATTGATGCTATACTGCACCCTGACTGGCTCGTCTCTTCCTTGTGACCCTTCTGTAAGGGGATGTCCCATTGTCTACAGATGGGCTTTGGGTCTCTACTCCATACTCCCCTCATTCACCTTGATATGAATTTTTGTTCTGGGTCTTTGATGCCTGCTACCTAATCCCATCGACACCTCATGATCACGCAGGCTGATGTGCTTCTCCTATGTGGACTTTGTTGCTCCTCAGCTAGATCAGTGCTTGTTTATTTTCAAGCCTTTAAAACTCCAGACACTGTATCTTTTGATAGCCAGGCACCATCAGCTTTCTTCATCACATTTGCTTATGCACCCATTTTGTCTTTACTGATTGTCAGGAAGGTGAGCATCACAGAATGCCAGGTTATTAGAACAAAGTGTTCTTGCATTGAGGGAGTAAGTACTTGCGTAGAGGCCCAATGCCCATCTGTTACCTTAATACTTAACATATAAATATATGGACATATCTCTATTTCCCTATCATTATATAGAAATATATTTACATATGTACATGCCTGTATTTAGACCTCTATAAATGCCCTTTGCCTTCTAGTTATTTCCTCTATTTCCTTTTGCTTTCCTTTGTTCCTTTATCATGTTCAGCCTTCAATAAGGTTCAGTAATTTCTCTCCACTACATTGCTCTTGATCAAGCCCTACCAGGCATCCTATACCCTCCTCACCATCGATTTGTTGTTCCTTTGTCCCTGGGTTTGTTAACACCCACTTCTTTTCCCCTACCCCACCCCCACCCCCATGTCCCCTGAGAACCGTTGGTCCCATTATTTTTAACTCTGGATTGTTTATCCTGCTTATCTAGATAGGCATGCCAAGACAGTAATAAGCACAAAAACAAGATAGAACAAAACCAAACAACAACAAACAAACGGCGGGGGTGGGGGTGGGGGAGAGTTCTATAAATAGTTCCAGGTCTGTTTGTTGACCTCTTTAAACTGTTTAAAAGCTAGATGTCATGTTGATAATCAGGTGCTGCTGCCTCAAGTCATGGTATTTTCTGTCATCTCATATGCATGCGAAGGTTGGGTATTAAATAAGACTTGGGAAGAGACGATGCCTTTGAATGAGGGTGTGGGCCAAGAATATTAAAAGTACCAGGAACTGCCAAAAGAACAAGCAAGTCTATCTTGGACGACGTACAGCCAAAATGTTCCTTAGAGGCAAGAACGATGAGACTTCATCTCACGTTCGTTGGACATGTTGTCAGGAGAGACCAGTTCCTGCAAAATGGCATCAAGCTTGGCGGAACAGAAGGAGAGCGAAAAGGTGGAAGGCCCTCAACCAGATGGATCGGTCCAGTGCCTCCAGCAACGGGCCCAAACTTCAGGACAATTGTGGTGATAGTGCACGACAGTCCGATGTTTTGTCCTGCGGTACGTAGGGTCACTCTGAATCATAATCGACTCGGCGGCACCCAACAACACAGCAAGGAGTCAGAACCCATCCAATGACAGAGCTCATCTTTGTTAGAACCTCTCTCTGGGGCATATTCCTTCCACCCCCTGGCCTGACACAGGGAAGCCCACCCCCACCCCTGGTTACTTGTTAGGGTGTCCAGCAATGGAGGTGGCCGGGCAATTGGAGCTGGTCAGAGAAGCAAACGTGGGCTTTCTGACAGGCAGAGTAAGGGAACCATCTGATTCCACCAGACCTGAGGGGCAGTGAGTCATTCTGTGTGTGCCAGTAGTTCTCCTGTACGGGGGACCCCTGCAGACACACACACACCCCACCCTCAGAGGCCAGGTCTGGGTGGGAGGGGGATGAAACCTGGGAGATGCCAGCATCACTCCAAAGCCACAATCCCATCCTCAGGAGAGGACTCTGCTCTGGTGGCCACGTGCCAGAAACTGTGCCTCTCCCACTGAGAGAACAGTGGGGGTGGGGGCCTGGGAGGCCACCAGCCACGGGTCCCCATCCCTGGCTGCTGGGCTGCTGGGGAGGCTGGACATGGACTTCATGCTGCAGGTCTGTGTGTACCCCGGGAGCGGTACTCCAACACCGAGAGTCCTGGTGACACCCATGTGTGCATCCCCAGGAACGACTGTGAGAAGGACGCTGTGATTATCGCCCTGGTGAACAGCATGACCTCCCTCTATGCCTCCATCACGGTCTTCTCCGTCGTGGGCTTCAAGGCGACCAACGATTACGAGAAGTGCCTGGACAGGTGAGCGCCAAGGCTGGCTGTAACTGGGACAGCCGTCTGCCGTGTGGTTGGGCACTGTCTGGATAGGTGTGCTCCATGCCAGGGCACTGTCTGGACAGATGGGTGCCAGGCTGTACTGGGTCTCAAGCCTGGCACCCCTGCATGATGGCTAAGCTGTGATGAAGTCCAGTGTAATCCCGAAGCATGCTGGCTTAGAGAGGCCCTCCCAGGACCGATGTGGAGAAAGGGAATCTGCAGACGTGACTAAGTCAAGGCCCCGAAGATAAGACATCATCCTGGATGGTCCGGGGAGGCCCTGACTCCAGGGACACGTGTCCTCAGAAGCAAAAGACGGCAGAAGAGGAGAACACCTTGTGCTGACAAAGGCGGACATCAGAGGGATGTGGCTGTGACCAAGGGGCCCAGGAACGACCAGAAGTTTCCAGGTGTAGGGAAGGATGCGCCCTGGAACCTCCCGAGGGAGCCCGGCCCTGCGGACACCCTGTTCCAGCCTTTGGACCTTCAAAATGTGAGAGCTTAAACTGCTGTCGCTCAAACCCACCCCCCAATCTGTGCAACCCCAGGAGGGGATTCCAGAGCCCTGGCAGTGTGGTGGTTATGCATTGGGCTGCTAACAGCAAGGTCGGTCCTTTGAAACTGCCAGTCACTCCTCAGGAGAAAGACCGGATGTTCTAGTCCCGTGAAAAGGGACAGTCTCTGAAATTCACGGGGGCCATTCTACCCTGTCCTGTAGGGTCGCTATGCATCGGCGTTGACTCGGTGGCAGGGGGGAGTAAAAGATTCCAGGAAGGCTCGACCCTACAAGCAGAGTTCCTGTGCCCAGTGGTGACTATGGTGACTGTGCCCTGCCGGGCATTGGGTGACATCAGGAAGCCTTTGGGGGTCACAGCTGGAGAAGGTGCTGCTGGCACCCAGTGGGTGGGATGCAGGGATGTTGCTAAGCATCACAGACATGCTAGAAGCTGTCCAGCAGCTCTGGTCCGCCATGCTCCGGTGAGCATGGGTGACCATTGCCTGTTCAGAAGGACGGAGTAAAGACAGGTGTCACTTCCTCCGGGAGGAGGCGGGAAGCAGCAGTGGCAACCCAAGGACCAGGTGCTCCCATCTGCTGCTCTCCAGGAATGAGTGGCTGTAGGGGCAGCCTGGTGAACCTCTCTTGAAAGCAGAAGGGACAATTCTTCCAGCTTCTGCTGCCGAGCTGGTGGCCCATGGAGGGTGTATCCACATGAAAAGGGTGCATGGCCCATGCAGGGTGGTTTCTGGGGCCATGTGGCTCAAGTCTAAGTCCATCAAGTTCACCAGGACCCACCCCAGCCAGGGAGCCCTCGGATGGCTTTGCCAGCCATGTGGGCACATAGCATGGAGCAGGGGACACCCATCTGCTGCTTTGCACTGGCTGCAGAGTGGTGCCCCACCCACCCACCCCGCCCAACAGTGCCCTGAGCACAGGAAGAAAGGCAGCCGTAGACCGCAGGCATGAGGAGTAGAGAGAGGTGTCAGAGCCAGCCACAGTCCTTGGAAGCCCATGTCCCTCAATCCCAAAGCTGCCCCCTCTTTAGCCACCCAGACGACCCCATGTGGCCCACTCTGAGCCTCAGACGGCTGCTCCCAGGCCTGGACCTGTGGGGCACGAAAGCAGCCCTCTCTTCCCTCAGGGGCCTCCTCTGTCTGGGACACCATCGATGTCACAGTTCTTTCCTTGCCTGTCACTGGAGGTGTCTTCTGCCGCGGCGTTGAAGGCAGGAGTGTGGGACTCCACCCTGCTCGCTCAGCCCCACTCCCCCCACAGGAACATCCTCAGCCTCATCAACGCCTTTGAGCTTCCCGACCAGAGCGTCTCCCGAGACGACTACCCAGCCGTGCTGGCCGACCTGAACGCCACCCAGCCCGCGCGCGTGGCCCGCCTGCTCCTGAGGAGCTGCCGCCTGGAGGACTTCCTGGACAAGGTACAGGAGCACAAGGGACCTGCAGAGCCCTCTCCACACACCAGAGACCAGGCCGGACAGCCACCCCCAGGGCACCTAGGGCCTGAGCCTGGCAGGAGAGGGAGGATGGACCAGGGGTACAAGTCACCATGTTGCCCAGTGGTGCTGGCCATTGGATTAGGTGCCCAGTGGGGAGCAGGCCGCAGCAGGAACTCCTTAGTCACTGATCATCTTCTGTGGAAGTCCACCTGATGGGCGGCCCACCCCAGGGGCTGCAAGATGGGAGGGGCATGGGCTGGGGTGTGCACCTGCTGTAATGCAGCACGCCACACGCTACCATGTATGTACCATATGCATGCACGGGGCAGAGGGAGCCCAGCAGGGGTGGTGTGCATGTGAGGGCGGGGCTGGGTGCACAGTATGCGTGTGCACAAATGGGGCAGAGCATGGAGGGCGGTATGGGTGGGGCTGGTTGTGCGTGAGCTTGTGCTGCCATGTGGTGTGCTGTGCACCTGTGCGCGTGGGGCAGAGCACGGGTGCAGTGGGCCGTGTGCACGTGAGGGGCGGGACTGGGTGTGAAACCTGCAGTGGGCACGCGTGGTGAGAGCACAGGGGCAGGGTGCCGAGCGCGCCCGTTGACGTGCGCGCGCCCGTGCGACGTGCCGCAGAGCGCCTCGGGCACGGGCCTGGCCTTCATCGTGTTCACCGAGTGCCTCCTGCACCTGCCGGTCGCGCCCGCGTGGGCCGTGCTCTTCTTCGGGATGCTCTTCACCTTGGGGCTGTCGTCCATGTTCGGGAACATGGAAGGGGTCATCACGCCGCTCCTGGATCTGGGCGTGCTGCCCAGGTCAGTCCCCAAGGAGCTGCTGACCGGTGAGTGGGCTGCGGGCCGCCCTGCCTGTCGCCTGGCCACCCTCCGGCCGGGGAAGGGAGGGGGGCGGAGGGAAAGGAGGAGACGGCAGGGCCAGGGCCAGCAAGCCGCTGAGCCGCGCTGAGCCGCGTGTCTGCAGGGCTGGTCTGTCTGGCCTGCTTTGCCTGCGCCCTCTGCTTTACCCTGCAGTCGGGCAACTACTGGCTGGAGATCTTTGACAACTACGCCGCCTCCCTGAACCTCATCATCTTCGCCTTTTTCGAGGTCTTTGGGGTCGTTTATGTTTATGGGATGAACCGGTGAGTTCAGGCTTGGGGGGGGGGGCAGGAGATGGAGAATTGAGGGCCACCTTTTCCTCAATGGAGCCAGGGAAGGACAGTCTTCCAAGTGTTCCACTGTTGAAGGGGTCACCCATCTCTCTGGCTGCCAGCACTGAGCTAGCCTTCTCCACCACGTGGGCAAACCTGGGTTCTGCTGACCATCCAGGGTCTCCTAAGAGTCCAAGTCCAGGGGACTCAGTGACAGCAGGAAGGTCCAGGGCAGGCTCTGGGCTCCATCCCACCCTGGGCCTCGGCAGGGTCATTTCTCCCCACCTCAGACATCATCCTTGGTCACATCTCTGCCCAGAGCCCACCAGCACTGGGTCCAGGACCCAGAGATCCCCCAGGAGCTTGGTCCCTGCATCCTCCTCCCCTTACATTCCGAGGGCATGCTAGAAAGTTCTGTGGGCATGGAAAGTCGGGGACAGCCAGACTTACCCATGGTTCCTGAGACTAGAAGAGGCAGCATGGCTGGGGCAGGTGTCCAGCCAAGCCACCCGGGCAACTTGGTGAGAAAGTGAACCCTTAAGGCCTAAGCAGGCTGGGGCCCCACAAGGTGATCCTCCAGAGGTGTCTAGAGGTGGCGCCTGGAGGAAGTTGGGGGTCAGGGGGAGAAGGGGGCATGCGGGAGCTTCAGGAGGCCCTCGTGCTGCTAGGAAGGTGTCCCGGGGGTCCTGTACAGAGGGGGACAGTCAGGAAAATGGGGCCTGGCCTAGAGATGCCCAGCGGAGTCCCTGTGTAAGTGGTGTGCAAAGTGACCGTGCATCCATCCAGGAGGGTAAAGCAATGTAAGTTGGTTCTGACTCACAGTGAGCCTGTGGGACAGAGTCCAGCTGCCCCTCAGGGTTCCCGAGGTTGGCTGTCTTCCCAGAAGCAAACTGCCACCTCCTTCTCCCCAGGAGTACCCAAGGTTCCAAACAGGCAAGCTTGAGCTTAGCAGCCCTATTATGCCCCCAGGACACATGAAGGTACCGGTGCGCGGTTCTTAGTCACTGAGTTAGGCTATAACTAATGTCACCATGGGGCTCTGGCGAGCAGACGTGTTCTCAGGGCTCAGGTGTCCAAGAAGCTCCTTGTGTCAGATACACTGTATCTTTTCCATTTCTGTCTGTCTGCTCCTCAGGGAGCAGAGGAGGCTGGCACCTTTCTTCCTCCATCTGTGCTTTCTTGCTGTTTAGCCCTGGGGTTTAGTGGTTACACGTTGGGCTGCTAACTGCATCAGCTGGTCAAAACCACCAGTCACTCCCCAGGAGAAAGATGGGGCCGCCTGCTCCCTTAAAGAGTGACAGTCTTGGAAACCCACAGGGGCAGCTCTACCCTGCCCTGTGGGGTCGCTGTGAGTCCCCATAGACTGGATGGCAGCTTGGTTTCTGGAGTTTCCTATTTCCAAGGAGGAGGTGGACCCAGCACACATCCTGCATTAGCACTGCCGTGACCACGCATCAAAGACGGGATCTGCACCTTGGGGCTAGGCTTACAACACATTGTGGGGGACAGAATTCAAGCGGAAAGTCACCCTGACCTCAGGGGGACTCCCAGAGGCCATATGACTTGTCAGGACCCATGTGTCCCTGGGAACCCATCAGGCAAGGCCCTGGGTGGGTTGAGGGGTGGGACAGACCATCAGCAGGGTGGGAATATAGGATGGGACAGACCACAGTGGGACTTGGGGAAGGGCAGACCAGCAGGGTAGGGTGGGACAGAGATAGACCATCACCATGGGAGAGGGGCTGGGGGTGGGGACAGATCATCAGCAGGCAGGGCATATGGGGTGAGGCAGACCCTGGTGGAGCTTGGGTAAGGATAAGCTATGGTGAGGATTGAGGGGGGGGGGGAGGAGAAGGGGGAACAATCATCAGGGTGGGGGTGGTAGAAGAGATAGACCATCAGCAGGGCAGGGGCAGGGCCTAGGTTGAGAGCCTGAAGCCTCGTCTGCCTGGGGTCAGATTCTGCAATGACATAGAGTGGATGACCGGGAGGCGGCCAAACCTCTACTGGCGCGTGGCGTGGAAGCTGGTTAGTCCCCTGCTGCTGCTGTCCGTCTTTGGGGCCTACCTCGTCCTCCTCGTCCAGAAGCCACTCAGCTACAAGGCCTGGAACCCCCAGCATGTAGGTCCTTCTATGAAGCCCTTCCCTGACGACCCCCTCCATGGGCAGTGTGCCTGTCACCTCTGCCTGAGAATGGGGGGCTCAGAATGTATACAGGACTGGGGCCCAAGTCGTCCAGGAGCTCCAGCTCCCTAGCTGACCCCCTGAGAGCCCCAGAAGCCTTGGGGTCCAGTCATTGATTTGGGGGAACATAATGGTTTCATGTTCCTGTGACCTAAGCCTTGTCCTAACCTTGAATTCACAGAGGTGGCCTCATGCCTCCTGAGGTAGGGCAGGGACAGGCAGCCCCACAGGGCCCATTGCTGGGCCACAGCAGGGGTGGGCACAGGCAGGGGTGAGGAGGGTACCGTTACCAACCCGAGTAGTTCAGCTGCAAGAGTGTCCACGTTTGACTTTCTCAGCAAAGGAAGCAGTGCACCAGTCACCCTCTGACATAAGACCATGGCCACACGTGCACATGGAGTAGCCTGGCCCTGGAGACAACCCCACACAACACACACACATGAGACCCAACACACACACACACTCACAGACACCCAACACACAGACACACAGACCCACCTCACTCGCACACTTACAGAGACCCAACACACACACACATACAAACACACTCACAGTCACCCAACACACAGACACAAAGACCCAACTCACTCGCACACTTACAGAGACCCAACACACACACACACACACACACACACACACACA